TTGTGAGAATTCGATGATGTTGATCATTTTGAACGAGTTTATGTTGAATAGATTTTTCATTATCTGTTTGATTGATATTATACTCGGTGATATTCAAGTATTGAAAATTTTGTTGAATTAAATATCTGATAAAATTTTCTTTTTCTTCGAGATTTTTAAGATTTTTCATTAAATCGTTAACATGATTGTTCATCATCATTTGTTCGTTATTGTTAAATATTTGCTCGATGATTAGGTTTTCAGCTTGGCCATTACGAATTTGGATAACTAAATTGGAAAGTCGTTCGAATTCTTTTCTAATTTTTTCTTTCAAATTGAGCCATTGTATTTGGATATTATTTTGTTGTTGTTTCAAATGTTCACATAAGAACTTCGGCATATCTTCTACAATAGTTTTTTCTAATTGTTTCATTTGAATTATTAATTGAAGGACGTAATCTTCGATATATCCATTGAGTTCTCGAGATAGAAGAGTGAATTTCACACATTCTCCATTATATTGTGGATAGAAATATTTGATGGGTCGAAGAATATATTTTATCGGATATACTCTAATGTTGTTTATGTTTTCTTTTATATACTGACAGACATCACGTACTTTATTCAAATTGTTTAATTCAGATGAATTAGTGTAAACTTTTGTGTGAACAATATTTTCTAAAAGACTTTCTTCATATTGAGTTAGTGAAGAAATATTATTCTCATAAAGTAAAGATGAAAGAAGTTTGTTAAGTACATTATCAATCTGTGTTGCCACATGATGGTCAGCTGGTAACTGTAGAAAGACAACTAAATCATGTCCCCATTCAATACCAGTTATAATATGAGTTGCCGCAGTTGAAAATATTGGTGAATTCATTAATCGTTCGATATCTATTATAGTGTCTGGTAGTTTCTGTATACGATCTATATAAGAATAACAGAATAATCGAGTATATTCGTTGGATAAATGAGAATAATCAATGAGTGAAGCTTTTCCCGTACTTGGTGTTAATCTTAATAGGATACTCAATATTAAGTGTTCGTCTATAGAAAGGAGTCGTAAAAGATTTTGAGGTTTATCATCATTACCATATTTAATCTCGCCTTTAACTGTTTTATGCGTTTTATATGATTCTTCTTGGTGATTCATATTATGCTGTTCAACTAGACAATCTCGGCATGCATCATAAAAGAAACCAAGGTGTCCAGAAGAATCAATAGCTGTACGTTTCATATCAATAAACGATGTATCGTTTGAGTTTTCTTCTATTTCCATTGGCTGCACAAACATATTGATGGTAGGATAAGAACTAAAATTTATTAGAAAATAACAAAAAAGAAATATTTTGAAGAGTATTAGATATTAAACCAGTGAATTAATCGAAATTAATTATATAGAAAGAAATATACTTCACAACTTGTTAATAACAAACGTACTAACTTTTCAAAACACGTCATAGTCTCGAAATACTAATATCAACCAATCTCGGTTTTTATGATATTTTTAAACCTTAAACTCAAGAATTCTAATGAAAATTTCAGAAAAGCTGCGTTATACAATATACATAGTTGAATTTTACCGATGCCTTTATTAAGAGATACTGTTGCTAAAAATAAAAAAATAAAATTTTTTTTTTTGTTCTTTTAAAAATAAAAAACTCAGTGTAACTATTAGAATAAATAGAATTGTTTGAAGTAAAACTTTCGAACAAACGTATTTTTAGTATCTATAATGTATTGCTAATTATATCAACAAGCGTATGCGACGGAGCCACAAAGTCTATGTAAGCTCGAATCTATCTTATACTTAATATATAAGATCTATATAATATTAACATTGTCTATTACTGTTAAACAGTGTTTTACAAGTAAGTATTGAATCCTACATCGGCAATGACTTAAAGTGAAGATTCTTTATTATAAGTGAAGAAAAATTATATAAATATTAGCATTCTGCTTTTTCGGTATTACGTGGATATAACAATTTTATTCGAGACTATTCAAAGAAGTCTTTTTATTATAATCAATAGTAATTACAAAGTATATATTTCAAAAATTTATTTTTATGATTGTTTAATCGCTTCTTTTTCTTAAATTTTTTTTAATGAAAAATTCGAATAAAATATTTTTTTTTCATTTCTTACCTTTTCAAAACTGAATTTCGTATTTTTTATGTTTGCTTAGTTATGGAAGCAAGTTCGCTTCATTTTTATTAAAGCATCTGTTACCTGACGTAAATACACTTTTTTTTCGTTCGGTTGAGGGTAAAAAAAAAACCTGTGAGCAGAATAATAAAATGCTTCTCTTCCGACAAATAAAAATACTCTTATCAATCGAGCAACATATAAAGCAACAACTATTCTAGGGTAAATAAACGATAAAAAAATAACCTTCGAAAGATTTTCTATGCATTTCCTTATTTGTAATAAGAAAAGAATAATTATTCAATCTCTAAATTAATTATTATATTAATTACATATCAATAAAATTCAATATTTTTTCTATAAGTAGCCGTTAATTAGCTATTCGTTGTTGTTTTCTATTCGGATCTAAGAATTATACTGCTCGTATTTATTATATACAATGGCTACCAAGATTATTGAAAAAGATTTATTTTCAATTCTTTTTCCCTATCGTAATCATCATAGAAAGTCCAAATAGTAAATTGAATAGAGAAAAATGTTTTACGATAAGAAAAATAAACCTGATTATAAAATTTTCACAGAAAGGATTTCCAGAAAATTAAACATCCAGTTTTTCATCATCTAGAATGTATCAATATAATAGTATTGTTCAGACTACATGAAACAATAGAACAAACAAATCTCTACAGTATGAGACATATCCAAGTTCTAAGAAAAAATTCACTTTGGGATCTTCAACCAGATTTTTGTATTTCAGTCAAAACATGTCGTATTTTGTAAATAATGTTTTGGCCAATCATTTCGTGTAGTTTAAATCAAATTATATTCGCACATTGTGGGTGCTAAATGTCTGGTTTTCTGAAAATTTCATCTTTGAAAATCTATTTTTATTTTCTTAGGTTATTTTTTGTGTACTCAAAAAGTGAGTACACTACTAAAATCGGTCTGTGTGTCCGTCCGTCCGGCCGGCCGGCCGGCCGTCCGTATACACGATAACTTTCGAAAGGAGAGTCAGATTGCGATGAAATTTTCTACACAGCTTAGTCTTGACAATATCTCGGTCGAGTTCGAAGATGAGCAGGATCCGTCGAGAAATGGCTGAGTTATAAAAAAAATTGTGATTTTTGACCAGATCATCCCTGAGGGGGGGGTA